TTACTTGGCTGCATATGATGAGAAAAAATTTGCAAATATCATTTGTGAAAACTTGTTGAAACAATTATGAAGATTTTTAAGAATTTGGATTTTCCATGTATTGAATCAATTTATTATTGGGCACTATTTTTACAAAAGTATTTGTTTGGTACAATTTTATAGTGAACTTTTTTTTATCGACTTCTTTTATATATTGCTTGTATATATTATTTTGATGAAACTATATTTTTGTAAAATAGTGTTAACACTCCAAATTTAAGTATTTATATATTGAAGATTGCTCCACTAGAGTTGGAGTATGTCTTTACTGCTTACCCCCAGCCCTAGGATATCACATATCAGTTGAAGATGACAAATTTTGGGTTGCCATGGCCTTCATTCTTGCGAAGAGGAGGAGGTGGACTTATCTTGAAAGACAGACAGAGGAGGACAAGGGCTTTTAAGACAAGGGATTTTTCTCTTCTTTTTGGAGACGTTAATTGATATAAAAAGACCCAAATAAAAATAACAGAGCGTTAATTGTCCCAATAAAATTTTATTTATCAAAATCATCTTCCAATACAAACAAACATCAATTATGTTATCTCCTCGTCTTTAATACTCTGATTATCTCATTCCGATCTTTTCTCTAAAATCAACTTAAAAATATTAAATAAAGCGGGGAAGTATACAATATGACGAGAAAAAATATGCTCAAGGACATTGAATAACAAATAATCGAGTATCACAAAGTATCTCATTCAATAGATACAAATATCAAATTTGCACATCACACGTCATGTAGAATCTTAACACAGATCTAACACCTCACCAATCATCCCACCTCAACCTGATCCCTCAGGTCTCTTGGCTGGCGATGCATCGGCTATTAACTGTCACGATCCCGTATCAATATCCATAGAACATGATCAATGATATCAAGAACACGATCAATGAGATCAAAATATTCAACGATATTCAATCGAAATTCTAAAATAACGATAACACAAGTTGGAATACAAATTAGAGGATAAATCAAGAAATACTCTTTGCAAAGAGATTTAAGAATAGCATATTGCATATTATCCCGTACCTCAGAATCATTATGTGAATTCGATAACTTTGATTTTTGTTTCATTTTTCTTCCTCTCGGTTTGAACTAAAAACACCCACCAAGATTTGTTTTCTCGCTCCCTCTTTTTCACCTTCGCTCTCGTCTTAACACACACAAACACATATATTTTTCTTCTCTTTCTTTTATTTTCCTTCACTCACAGTTTCAACAAACTAGTACACGCACACACATTTTTCTACAACGTATTTAATGTTAATTACCATTCATTTACTCCATGAATTTCTTTATTCTTTCTCTCTTTTCTTTTTCTTTACCTTGTCTTGTCTCTTTTATTTTTTTTTCCAAAGTCTTCACATGGGTGAAGACCAAAGAATCATAAAAGTTGAAATATTTATATTTTACTCCCCTTTGTTTCACTTATTATATATATCAACCACAAAATTTAAATATTCCTTATTCTTTCACATCAAAACTTATAATATTTTATACTTAACTGCCTCTAAAAATTTGGGATCTGACAATCTACGCTCCTTAAAAGAATTTCGTTCCCGAAATTCTTTAGTTCACAAAGAATCCCAAAATTTGTTGGGTGCAAAGTGTTACACGAGAAAGAAAAAGAATATAAAGTGCTTATTGTTCAAAAGAAAGGGGTGTTATTGATTTTTTTTTTCAATAAAGGTATAATTACACTAACTTTCTCTTAATTCACTAAACCGAAAGTCTGTGCAATACTACCACATCAATTCCACATTCCAAGTGTTCAAAACTTGCACCACCAAATAAAATACAACGAAAACACAGTGAACTCATTTCCCACAAATCTCATATAAGATTTGAAGTCTAAGCTCTGATACCATTTGTAACGCCCCGATTTTTTTTCTTCTTTTTGGAGATGTTAATTGATATAAAAAGACACAAATAAAAATAACGGAGCGTTAATTATCCTAATAAAATTTCATTTATCAAAATCATCTTTCAATACAAATAAATCTGTCACCATAAATAAATCTCCTAATACAAATAAACATCAATTATGTTATCTCCTCGTCTTTAATACTTTGATTATCTCATTCCGATCTTTTCCCTAAAATCAACCTAAAAATATTAAATAAAACGGGGAAGTATACAATATGACGAGAAAAAATATGCTCAAGGACATTGAATAACAAATAATCGAGTATCACAAAGTATCTCATTCAACAGATACAGATATCAAATTTGCATATCACACGTCATATGGAATCTTAACACAGATCTAACACCTCACCAATCATCCCACCTCAACCCGATCCCACGGGTCTCTTGGCTGGCGATGCATCGACTATTGATTGCCACGATCCCGTCTCAATATCCACAGAACATGATCAATGATATCAAGAACATGATCAATAAGATCAAATATTCAACGATATTCAATCGAAATTCTAAAATAACGATAGCACAAGTTGAAATACAAATCAGAGAATAAATCAAAAAATACTCTTTGCAAAGAGATTTAAGAAGAGCATATTGTATACTATCCTGTACCTCAGAATCATTATGTGAATTCGATAACTCTGATTTCTGTTTCATTTTTCTTCCTCTCGGATCGAACTAAAAATACCCACCAAGATTTATTTTCTCGCTCCCTCTCTTCCACCTTTGCTCTCGGCTTAACACACACAAACACATATATATTTTTCTTCCCTTTCTTTTATTCTCCTTCACTCACAGTTTCAACAAACCAGTACACACACACACATTTTTCTACAATGTATTCAATGTTAACTATCATTCATTTACTCAATGAATTTTTTTATTCTTTCTCTCTCTTTCTTTTCCTTTACCTTGTCTTGTCTCTTTTATTTTTTTTTTCCAAAGTCTTCATATGGGTGAAGATCAAAGAATCATAAAAGTTGAAATATTTATATTTTACTCCCCTTTGTTTCACTTATTATATATATCAACCACAAAACTTAAATATTCCTTATTCTTTCACATCAAAACTCATAAATATTTTATATTTAACTACTTCTAAAAATTTGGGATCTCATAGGCTTGGAGAAAAGCAGCAACTTAGAATACAAAACGATTCAAGTTTCTAAATTTTCATAACCGATGTATTTACTATTATTCAATTCTTTGGTTATTTATTGCAGAATTTGTGGGGTCTAACAATTTGGACGACTAAACTTTATTTTATATTATCATTAAAAAAATATTAAACCTTAATGAAAGTTAAGAATATTCATTGTTGGAGGGTACAGTTGAAAAAAATATTTTTCAGGTATTTTGATATTTTAAAGTAGTATAAATATAAATATATTAGTATATGCACATGCAAGAATGATTCAATTATATATATGGGGAGCATTGCATTCATATTTAGGTTTAGGGGTGTCGATGGTTCGGGTTACCTACGAGTCTTGTTACCCAACCCGAAAAAAATAAGTTTGAAACCTAATAAGCTCGATAGTTGGCCTGTTCGAACTTAAGCTCAAGCTCAATATCCTTAAAAAGAGATAATGAGTTTGTCCCAAACCCATTATCTGGCTCGAAGCCTAGCCCAATAACCAATTCGAAAAATCCGTTAAAACCTGGCCCGTCAAGCTTACTCCCCAAGCTCATCTACCAAGCCTAGCTTGCCCACATAGCTCGCCCACCTTTCCTTTGAAAAAAATGTTATACTTTTAGACCATTTAATTTGAAACTTTAAAATAAATCTCTCATTGTCGAAATTTGAAGTTTTAAAATTTTAGATACTATAAATAATGTATTATTTTCTTTTCCATGTATTAAGCATACAAGTTTTAAAGGGTAGAGTAATGCAAATGATAGATAAGTGAGTAGGTTGGCATGTAGTCATCTCCTAATTAAAAATAAAATTATTTATTATTTTATTTTTCTCCATTTTAACTCTATTTTTGATTTAAAAATATAATTTACACAAATATTAAGGTACACAAATATTCATTATTTTTAAATAAAATTGTATACAAAAACCCGCTAGTAAGCCCACCCAGCAAGCTCGCCCAAAATGCCCCATTCATATGCCTGGCCAATAGGCTCGCGGATTGAGTCGTGAATAGTCTATCCCTACTAAAAGTTTGGGCCGACCTGTCCGATAACTCATTTGGATAAGAGCTTGAGCTTATACTACCCAGGGTCGACTTGAAAAACTTTCGCGAGCCTTGCCCAATAAACTAATTTCTATGAAATTACAACTTTAATTTGTCCCAAAATCTTAGAATGTTCATTTCATATGCATTTGTCAATTATGTCACTCATATTCTTCTTCTTCTTTTATGTTTTCCCAATTTAGGGGGTTTAATTAAGGAGGTTCTCGAGGAGATAGATAATTTTATCACTCTGAGTATTGAATTTGGAGTCAAGTGATTAGTACAAACAACACAGTAAGATTTTTCTTGGAAATTGACAACACTAATTATATATAAACTGAAATTTTTTCTGGGCATTTTTTTTTATATTTTTCCACTTTTTGCATCTTTAAAATGTGCATGTGACATCAATATTTCATTAATTCTGGGAAACTCACCAACCACATGACATGGTTGCCAAGGGTAAGGTTTGTCCTTGAGATTATTTTGGTAAATATGTTAGTCACTTACTCTAACTCAGCATCATCTCTAGTGATTTAAAAAACAGGAAGAGGTTAAACCGGTTGTGAGTGAGATTTCCAAAGAGGATTTAAACTGTTAAATAAATACTTACTTAAACAATAACAAAAATTGGTTCTATGGTGTAGTGGTTAGCACTCTGGACTTTGAATCCAGCGACCTGGGTTCGACTCCCGGTAGGACCTTTTTAATTCATTTTCTTTCATTTTTATCCTTTTTTTTAGGCCACACGAAGAGGGGGAAGACGAGATTCGCTTAGTAAGAAAAAAACATAGGTTTCATTTCCTCCCTCTCTCAGTCTTACTGTGGAATCCTTCAAATCTTCAACAATGGAGAATTCCCAATACAAAACCCTCGAAATCGTCCAAAAACCCACAAATTCCCGTGTCTTCAACTTGTACATGAATCGACCAAAATTTCGAAACGCCTTATCCCGTGACTTCTTCTCCGAATTCCCCAGAGCCTTGAGTTCCCTCGACCAAAACCCTGATGTCGCCGTCATAATTCTCTCCGGCATCGGCGAAAGCTTCTGCTCCGGCATCGACCTCAAGACCCTAACTTCAATTGTCGCTGGCCTCCATGCCGACCGTGGACGCACCAATGAACGTATCCGGAGAGAAATTAAGGCTTTTCAGGATGCAATAACGGCTATCGAGAAGTGTCGGAAACCTGTGATAGCGGCTATTCATGGGGCTTGTGTTGGCGGAGGGGTTGACATTGCCACGGCCTGTGACATGAGGTTTTGTACGGAGGACGCCTTTTTTTCGGTGAAAGAGGTTGATTTAGCTATCACGGCTGATCTTGGGACGCTTCAGAGGCTGCCGAGTATTGTGGGGCATGGGAATGCGATGGAGTTGGCTTTGACGGGTCGGAGAGTATCGGGTTTGGAGGCAAAGCAAATGGGTTTGGTTTCTAGCGTTTTTGCTTCTAAGGAGGCTTTGAGCAATGGCGTAAGTGCTATTGCTGAGGGTAAGTTGGCCTTGTATTCTCTCCTTTTTATACCAAATTCGTTACTTTTAATTGATTGTTTCCAATTATGGTAGTCAATAGTTTTAAAGCATTGTTGTTTATTTCATGGCAATTTTCCTTCTCCTTGTATGTTTTCCTTTTATTCACTCCTTATTTGATTTGTGTATGCTTATTGCTGATTCAAAGTGAATGTCTATGTGTTACTTCCGCATTGCGTTAGTGCTCAGAAAGCTACTTGCAACAGCAGCAAATTCACAATACGATAGTGCAAATGGAGAAGATTGTTTTAACATTCTTTCACTCGCCAATTGGTTCAGTAATTCAGACAATTCTTTGGAACTGCGTGTAAGTTAGTGTACGCATGACCTGCAAATTAGATTTACTGTAGTTACTTTTGGCCTATATGAGACCAGATACAAAAATTTGCACATAAATTCATAGTTTAAGGTTGTAGTATCGGCTATAGACTAGGAGAACTTTGAGACACATCGATTGTAGCGTTGCATCATGATATCGGGTGATACGACGTAAAAGAAAATGTTGAACAAGACGAGAGATTCAGGTCATACTGTTGGATTGCAGAATCATATCGACTGATTCGACGAAGATAACTCAACAACTCGGGATTGATTTGGATATGATTCGGCCGAGTCGTGCGAGATTCGGGATTTTTACATATCGAGTTTGATACAACTCGGCCAACTCGTATCGATATCGGCATATATTTTGAAACATGCATAAATCAGATGCTAGAAAGTATAGATGCCTTACCTAGCATTTTTTGCCGAGCGGATGAGGAATATAATACTTTGTGTTCAATGATGCGGTTGGTGACTTCTACTAAATATGTGAAGTTTGTTAAATGGGGGGCTACTTTATTGTGGTGCAATAAGAGATTTGAAGTAAGCTGACCTCTATTTGGAGACTTTTAGTTTGATCATGATATAGAAAATTGAGAATTAGTTAAGTTTTGCTTATGTTTAAGGTGGTCACTGAGTAAACAGCTTTATTCTAAAGCTAGTTGTATGTACAATTTTATACATATACTAGCAATTACTCGTGCTTGAAGGTACTACATAATACAAACAAAAATTATCAATTAATATGGACCCACTATTTCTTAAAAAAATTGACAAAACTCCCTCTAAATACATGATTGTTGAAAAATATCAACTAATAAAAGTAGTAATTAGTACAAATTTATATAAAGAAACATGACTAAAAATTCACATATGTGCAAAAGTATTTTACTTGACACTTGAGTACATACAAATATGAAACAAAACTCAAACCATTCTCACCTTTAAATCTACTTCATCTAAATCCAAACATTGATGTTTATCAGTCTTTCCCTACTTGTATTTCTAAGTACTAGTTGTTGTGCACGTGCAAATGCACGTGGACTATTTTGAATTTCAAATATATATTTTTCTTTCTCAACAATTATAAAAAATTCAGCCCACAAGGTTGTAAGAAACTAACTAACCGTAACAAAAAGAGTTCTATTGTAATATTAAAAATGCAATAAATTCGAGTCATTATGTGGGTGTAAAATTAGAAATACGACAAATTCGAGTCTTGTAAATACAACAAATTCGAGTAATTAATACTTCACATAAATATCGAATAATTGTGCAAACAATGAAAGACACTAAACAAGTCTAATCTTGGGATCAAACAACACGCACAAAAAAAAAAAAAAACATTGAAAAATCTATTTCTTAAACTGAAAGAGAAAGAAATAAATTTTAATTGAAAATTAGAACAACGTACTAATGACAGGATCATTTGCTTCTCTTATTGACTTCCCTTTACGGAACAACTCAAATAGGAGTATATCCAATATTCTTGTTATTGATACAAAATTCTTTAATATGAAAATGGAGTAAAAGAAAATTCAAAATTTCCTTTTGAATTTTCTAATGTTAGTAAATACCAATAATGTTCAAACTTAAGGTAGACAAAAAGATGTAAAAAAGACATTCTTAACAAGTAAAATGACCAGAAAATCCACACTAAAGTAAAGAATGCATAGTTGATTAGAAAGTATGTTACATGAATTTTCTCTATCAATCAAAATCAAGTCAAAAAGTCATAATGCCCCTAGTTTTCTATACAAATCACTAAAACAAGTACATGGAAAAATTGAAGGAGTGAACCAAGATATCATGGTAGCTAGTGGAAAACAGAGGTTGTCATCGTGGCTACTAGAATTGACGGCTTCGTGGCTTGCTGGGCATTGTCTCTGAGGAACGATGAACCTTATGAAAGCTTCAAGGTCATTGGTAGTGGAATATATACTCTAGAAGTCTAAACCAAACGTTAAATAAATTATTTTTTGATTAAAACTATTTATTGTAGAAGTTTAAGAGTTAAAAGTTAAATTTAGGGAAAATTTCAGTCACACTTTTTTTAGTTTATCATATCTTTAAGAATACCCCTTCTGTTATTCAAAACATCACTAACAACCCCTGTCGTTAAACTACTATTTTTTTAAAAAAAAAAATTCATCTAAAATACCAAAATTGTCCCTACATAAACCCCAAACAATGTTTCTACATAAAATTCGAGTCGATTAAAGTTAATTTTTTTACATATTAAAATTCGAGCCGATTGAAATTCGTTTTTCTATATATTAAAATTTGAACTTATTAAAATTCAATTCGAGTTAATTAATTTTTTTTTACGTATTAAAATTTGAACCTTTTAAAATTCTCTTTTTTACATATTAAAATTCGAACTGATTTGAGCTCAACCTGAGTTGTTAGTGTCGATTAAAATTTGATTTGAGTTGATTGAAATTTATATTTTTTTTTACTTATTAAAATTCGATTTAAGTTGATTAAAATTCATTTTTTACGTTTTAAAATTTGAGTTGATTAAAATTTATATTTTTTTACGTATCGAAATTTAGGCCGATCAAAATACGATGTGAGTTGATTAAAATTTGATTCGAGCCGATTAAAAATGAATTTCAATGGGTTCAAATTGAATTTTAATCGATCTAAATTCTAATGTGTAAAAAATTTCATAAAATAGAGAGGTCTAATTGAAGATATGTCTATCTAGAGTGGGCGTGGATGAAGTTTTCTTAAAATATATCATGGGTAATTTAATAAAATTGTATTCTAGTTAAGATCTTTAATTTGTCAAGGGGTGTTAGTGAAGATTCAGAAAATAGAGGGAGTGTCTTTGAAAATATGATAAATTAGGAGTGTGGCTAAAATTTTTCCTCAAAGTTATATAGAAGTTTAAAAGTTAGAACTGAATGAAAAGAACAAAAATATAGTTTAATTTTTTGTGGAGATGAAGTCATGGAGAATCGGAAAAGTCTTCTTAATTATGGGTATTTTAATGTAGAATAGAAGATGAGAATGAAAGAAAGTGAAGATTCGGAGGGTAATTGTTTGTTGGTAATTAATGAGAGTAATTAATTTAACACTAATCTGATTTTATACAATTGTTTGAGAATAATGATGTTAAAAAAATATTTTTTGCTTTAGTGGCTTTTTAAAAGTAGTATAGATAGATAGATATAGATATATTGTCATTGAATTTGTAGGTTTCTTTGACGGTACACAAAAGGTCAATTTTTTATGATTTAAACCATGTGTCTTCATATATTTATTTAAAGACAAAATAGAAATTCAAAATTTTTTTGCATTTAGATCAAATTATTAGTGTGAGGTATAATTGTCCTTATAATTTTGTTTAAGGGCAAAAGAAGAATTCAAAAGTTTTTCATCTAAGATACTTTTATTAGTACTATAGATATAGATTTGTCAAATTCCATATCCATATAACCTTCTATGTACCAAAGCAGTTCATGTTCAGCAAACATTGCTCGCTATGCAAGACATGGATCAATTTATACCAACATAACATATTAAAAACAAAGAAACTTAGCTGTAAACATACGCCTGCCTTAATGCAACTAGTTACCAACTACAGGAAAATATATTAATCCATAGCTGCAATAGCAAAATAACAACCAATAAACCAAACAGCCAAAGTCTCGCATCAAATATAAACCCATAATAAACAATATCCACCAACGAACTTGAACCTTTAAAAAAAATGAATTTTGAGCAGAAAACATTGAATAAATAAAAGCAATTAAAAGAAACATCAAGTTCATAAATCAAAACCTTGAAATAAATATAGAATCTTCCATCAACTATTAATTTTGGTGAACAAGTAAGACCCCAGTTAGTTAATGTAATTGAAATTGATTAAATTTAGTTCAAGGAGTGTTCAAATGGGTGAAAATTTAAACAAAACTGAATAGAAATATTACACCAAAAGTTGTGATGGCAAACTGGCAAACATGTATATTGCTTCCTCTATGAGATTCTCCCGTGTCATTTCACATAACCAAAACTAAACCTGCATCATGAAAGCAATAGAATAACCCAGTGTTTTGAAAAGCTCGCCTAGGCGAGAAGCGAGGCGAGGCGAGCTTATCTCGCCTGGAGGACCCCAGACGAAGTAAACGTGAGCGAAGCGAGAAAAAGCGAAAAAGCGAAGAAGCGAAAAAGCGAAGAAGCGAAAAAACGAAAAAGCGAAAAAGCGAAAAAGCGAACGCTTTATTATAAGAGACGATTCTGTTTCCCTTTTTTTTTTTTTTTTTTTTTCAGGTTAGTAGTCTCTTTTATTTTTTAATCACTAATAATTTTTTTTTAAACTATCGCTGGTCTATTTTTTTTTTTAATAAACAATGTTTCGAACAAAACACATTCCTTTTTTTTTTTGTGTTGCTGAATTCATTTAGAATATTTGTGGGATGTGGGAGTCAGGCGACTGCATGACAAAATTATGATAAAGAAAGGAAGCAGGAGTATCAGGAATGGGGGTAAATAATAGTCTTCTACAAAGAAATGTCTCTGATATGTCTTGGTTATACTTTTCCCTTTTCTTATATATATACAAATGGTACCAAAAAGTGGTCTATGCTTATACCATGTTTAATTATTTTAGTACATGTGAAATGTGCCTCTGTTCTGCTTTTTTTATTCAGTACATAATTACATATGAAATTGTTTACAATTGATTCTGCTCCTGTCATGATCATTGTGTTTCTGTTTTTTTTTAACTCATTCTGCTTCTATTTTTTTTTTGTTGATTCTGTTGCTGCTTCGGTTTTGCTGTCCTGTTTTTTTTATCCTCATTCTGCTTCTTTTTTTTTTGTTGCTGATTCTGCTGGTGTCCTGATTCTGCTTCTTTTGTTGTCCTACCCTGTCAATATGAAAATGTATACAATTGTTAGTATTTTTTTGAATTTAAATGTTTAAGTTATGACTGTTATTAAGATTTGAGATATTATTAGTGTTTGTTTTAATTTAAATATTTATGGT